TATAGAAATGCATTACAATTTGGCACTAATTAACAATTCATCTAATAATGTACGCAATATTATGTATCAATTGCAGCCAATTGCTCGCTTTATTGCTACAACTCATCATCTTCTTGCTAACTCACCGATGTGGAATCCGACAATCAATCAAATAATAATGCACAAGATGAGCATAAAGTGTTTCTACGTGAATCAAACAAATTACATATACATTCATATTTAAATAAAATACGATATTACAAAATGAAATGATAAATTCTCATATTTATAAAATACGAAATTATATAAGTTTACAAATCCATTATGGTAAATTACCTTTCTACCCTTAATTATTTCTTTAATTACAAATTTGTCCTATTTTAATTCAGTGATCATACAACTGTAAACTTTTTGGAACCCCAAAAGAGGTGGGCCCCACAAATTCCATCTTCCTAATTTCCTAAGGCAAACGATGGATTTCGGTTCAAATTCATGATGGATATATTTCCATGACAAAATCCATCACCAAACCCCTCAAGCAAACGACCCCTTAATGACTTCATTTCTTTGCTTTTTTGTTTGAACTCTTTCTCTCTTCGTCTCGTTCCATGCATTCATCTACTACATGCTTGAAAAGATCTTCTCATGCACAATTTTCAAAATGTGGAGCCAGATACCATAGAATCTCCTTTCGAGCGGTAATTTGTGTTCTTCTCCTATCTGCATTATGGCATATAAGACTTTGTTAGTGGGAAAAAAATACAAATTGAGCAAGTTTTTTGTTTGACGATATACTAACCACTCTATCCAGATCATTGGATTCATAGCGCATCCACTGCATGACGTGCACACCACACTCGGTACTATTACTTTGCCCTTGAATGTGTAGCTCTTCGAAGTTGAAATCTCCAAAATTGGTATTGCTCCATTGCTCATGCGCTCCAGTTTAAAAATATCATTCAATTGCGATAACTACACACAAATAACGAATATTAAATGCTTCTAGCATAATACGTGACACTTAGTAGTCAGAAATTATAGGAAACACTTACCAATTTCTTGCAGAGGTTTGATTTACACTTATGATTTGCCTCACTAGTTGAAGGTAGATTGTCAAGCAAAAATGCGGTGTTTTGCTGGACATTGACGAGATACAAAAACCAATGGAATGCTTCATTATCCAGAACTGACATAAATATCCAGCAACAGAAAATTCACTATATGTTATAAAAAGCGAATACGAAAAAATGCATTATGGAAGCTTAATGAGATAGGGACATTAAATAACCTTCTAGCATGCACTAACATTCGGCATAAAGACCACGCCATCATCCATCAACTTGTTATGAATTTGTTCGGTCTTCATGTTAGCGCGACCATTTTCTGTACCATATTTTTATTGAGATTAATTGACATGGTACAATATTAATAACTAGGTTATGACATATAAATAAAAATTACGGCTCTTACCAAAAACATATTTTGCAAATATCACGCATTTGGCTCTTTATTCTCTTGTTTTTCAGACATTGTTAGTGCCCTTGCACACAAATCCACTGCCTACCAACCAACAATCAACCACAAAATCCTCGTAAATCGTACCTTAAATAGTGCATAATTCATACGAAAGCCGTAGCAGTATAGTAATTACGTATGAGCAAATCCAGCTACTCTCGCTAATGACCAAACTCAAATATGTCGTTGTACGTTTTTCGGTTAAAAAGTCAACAACGGTCAAACTGCAAAAACCAAAATAACAGAAATGTCAATTGTGATTTGCACGGAATCAGTCGACCTATTCACAGACAAGCTACGTGGTCGACCTTATTGGCTAAATGGTCGACCACATGTACTACTTTTATGAAAAACATCTCTTACTTGTCCCAATTCGTTTCTCCGGTCTTCTCTTTAGTAACAACATAAAACAAGTCTTCAACTGGATTTTGTAGATTTTTTATGAATCCTTCTAGGTCCTCCACTTTCATGACCTACAAATTATAGTTAAAATTAAAGTTACATATGACAACAAACACACATTATAGATGAAATCTAGCGTAAACTTACTCCGTGCTTTTCGAAAGGACTCTTTGATTCATCTTCGTCGCTATCAGCACTAAATAATCCTTTTCTTACTAAATGATCATTCTGTGGAGTGGTGTAGGAGTCACTTTCATATCGAGGTTTCTTGTACTTAGGATAGGAACGCTTGCTGCCAAACATTGTTTCACTTTGTCAACCATATAAACAAAACAATTTAGCACTAATGATCGTAATACTAATATCTTCACTCACATATGAATATACTTGTCTACCTTTAACTTGTGCTCTTTCAATAAATCTTCTATGCTCTGGTAGCAATTTCAGAATCATCATGGTCTTCCTCCTCTTCATCAAAGTCAAATTTATTTCTTGTACCATTTCTTCCCCCATTCTCCATTCGTTCTGCATGTATTTCTTTGATAACACCTTCTACCCTCTCAAAATCATCATGCATCTTCCCAGTCATATCTGTCAATCGAACTGACAATTGCACCATTGTATCACGAATGGACTGTTGATAGTCATTGAATTCTTTTTAACACACCACCAGCTGCTCTTGTGTGGCTTTCAACACTTTCATGATTTCACCAAATCCTGTTGATGTTTCTCATCATGCGACATCGTCTAAACAATTTAAAGAAAAATTCAAATCATAATTCAACTTCAATTTTGTACAATTGACCAAAAACAGAGACGTGATTGACCTGACCTATTATTAGGTCGACCTTAAAGACAATTTGTCACTACCAGAAACAATTAGGTCAATCTTTGCTCTTCCTAGGTCGACCTATCCGGCAGGAAAATACCAATTTACCAACAAAAGCAAGTGTAATATTACCACGAACAATGGATAGGTCGACCTACACATTGATCGGCTGACCTTTTAAGCACAACATAGTCTTACAAACAAAGCCAAAGTCGATATTCAGTATGAACAACCAAAACAAACAGAAACGCTCGACCATGAAAAACATTAGGTCGACCTATTGGGTTTGATCTTCCTTACCTCGCAAGTACAAAAGTCCGAGTAACTAAACAGAGGTCGACCTTCTCACTTATGAGGTCAACCTATTAAGTGCAAAGTGGTCGGCCTTTGAGGTATTTGGGTCGACCTTTTATTATGTTCGCTTCCCAAAGAGGTCGACCATTTGCTGTAAAAGGTCAACCGCGTCGTTGAGCCTCACAAAACTAAAACAACAAATTAGGTCGACATAATCCTATATAATTCCGACCGAAAAGTGCAAGTTACAGTAACATGCATGTCATTGCAGCAAAGTCCAAACTTTTTTGTTTTTCTAAGGTCGAACATTTGGTACACAATGTGGGTTTTTTTGCAAAATTGGGTTTTTAGTGTGGGAGATTAACCGTCATCTCTCTCTTCTTTTAATACTTCTACTCATTTTTACTCAAACTTAAAATAAGTTACATTTTTTGTGACACATTTAAACAAACAAACAAACACACATAAGTAATAATCTTTTCTTCAATTAAACAAACTATAAAGATAAAAATAGAGAGTGACATATATAGTGTTTGTTTAACCCAAATTATCTTATTAAATCTCATTAAGTAAATTTTCTATTCATTTTTACTAAAAATTTATAATAAGTTACATTTTGATAATAAAAAAAAACACACACATATGAATAATAATAATTTTTCAATTAAACAAAATTTAAACGATGGCCTAGGAGAAAATGAGCGTTTGACAATCAATCGTTTTTGAAAAATGAACTATATGACTATATATTTTTTGCTATCAAACACTCACTTCTTCCTAATGAATATACTTATAAAATAAAACAAGTATAATTTATATAGAAAAAGGTCTGAAGATAAATTTGACATAACGATAATTGTTATTTTTCTAAAATACTTCTTATTCATTCCGTTTAAATGAAAAACATATTAATTATGAATACAACCTTTTAATTTATCTCTACCATTTAACCATTTTGATTGTCTCTCTAGAAATAAAATCCAACATTGGAAATAAGAAATTAGATAGAGAAGGAAATGGTAATGCATATGAAGTTTTTTTTCCCTTTATAGAAGAATAGAAGGAGGGAGGTACACAAGGAAATGATTAGATGGCAAAGTTTTGAGCAATTGTAACATATTTTTGCCTGTTGATGAAAGCAGTTCATCCTATCATTGCGAAGACAAGGTGAACCAAACCGAGGATTGTCGACTGCTCCCTCTTCCTCCTTGATCTGAAGCTGGCAATTGCTCACTCTTTTTTCCATTATTTTCTTAATTTCTTCCAAATTAAAACTGCTGGATGATAAATTTCTCCACTTGATGAGCGAATGTATTTCTTCTTCGTTTTCACGGAGTTGTTTTACGTTCTCTATTATGTCATATACTTTTATGTAAATAGGTAATATATGATTAGAAAGGATAATTGGTTGGACTTAGGGCATATGTCCTTTGGTTGAATAAATGATCTTTTACTTAAATGTCTATTGCAACCCGATTCCTTAGATGTTGAAATGGAAAGTAGAGTTGTGAGGGTTGTTCATTATATTCCTTATGTTCATGATTGACATGCTACTAGCTAGCTATAAGATGATGATCTGGTTAGTAATTAGTAGGTAGCAAAAAGATTATAAGTAGAAGGGAACATAATTGGCGGTTTTATAAAGGTCGCGAAGAAGAAAGAAAATGACGGTGGCGGTTCCTCGGTTGTGTATTTTGATGTTTTTTCAATTTCTACACGTTTGCAATGACATTTGTTTGTTTCATTATGGTGAATTTCTCCTCATTAAATCCTTAACTAAAGCTTGATTTTGACATGATTATTTTCTTACCAACTACTATTTTGATTGGTGCATAGATTCAGTTCACAAATTAGGGGGATAAGCGAAAGGCGTCCAAGCTTGGAATCGGAACTCGGGCAGTCGAGTTTTGATAAGGCTGATGATGACTTCCTATCATCGCCCTCTCCCCAAACATTTCCTTCGCGGAAAGTGCAGGTGAATATGAAGATGATGCCAGATGATGAATTTGAGCAGATGGTGTTTGATAGAGATGACTCCAGTTCAGACATGGAGACGGAGGGACATAACTTTGAGCTGAAGAGTCGTGCAGCCCCAGAGGGGAGACCCAAGCCTACCGTGCCAGGAAAGGGTCGGGTGAGGCGTGCGGTCGAAGTCCTGGAAAGCAAAGCAAAAACTAAGTCTCCGGCAGCGGTATGTGTTGGGATAGCGGATCTTGAGGATACACAGAAGGAGGTGCTAGCTGGGGGCCTACATCTCAATGAGTACGGCTCAAATGATGGTCACCTGTTGCTGGGATCACGGAAGCAGCCATTTCTAGAGCTGGAGGATGATTAGGGGGAGAACCCTCCTCCAAAAAGGCAGTTTTCGGAGGAGAAAGATACAACTGAAGAGGTGGAGGTAGCCATCCCAGAATGGCCCCAGTCGGATGAATGAGGATGTTGGCCTGGAATGTGAGAGGGATTGGGCCAACCCTCACATTCCGTACTGCTTTAGGGTTATTTCATTCTAATAAACCTGATCTTGTTTTCCTGTCTGAAACTAGATCAGGCCGTAGAGTCGTGTCTCGTAGGATGCGAGGTTTAGGTTACGATTTATCAAACTGTCATTTTGTTGACGCGGTTAATGTGTCTAGTGGTCTGGTTATTGGTTGATCCCCCGGAGTTGATGCTCTGGTGTTGAGTCATTCCAGTTGTCATATTTCGGTTCGAGTTAATGAAAATAATATTTCGTATGTGGTGGTGGGTGTGTATATTAGTTGTAATGCGGCGATTCGGGCGGCTCAATTGCAATATCTCCAAACTTTGTGCGAAGAGATCCAATTACCGTATGTGGTAATAGGGGATTTCAATTCCATTTTGTCGAGTAATGAGAAGGATGGGGGAAATCCGTGGAATCCGGATAGCTCTGCTGCGCTTAAAGACTTCATCAATAACCTGGGTTTACAAGATGTGGGCTTCCAGGGGGACCAGTTTACTTGGATAAACGGATGGGACTGGCCTGTGTTCGAGAACGACTTGACTGGGCCATTTGTTCCCAGTCTTGGATGGAACTTTTCTCTAATTCCCTGGTGAAGCATCATACTGATCAAGGTTCAGATCATAGAGCTATTCTTTTATCTGATAAACCATTCATGAGACAGAGCCGACCTCTTTTTCGGTTCGATGCACGTTGGGTGGATAATCCGGAAGTTAGAGCGATGGTCGTTTTCTTTTGGAGTGAGGAGGTCCATGGTTCTCCTATGTATAGATTATGGGCTCGTTTGAAGCGCCTCCGTCATTTGTTATATGATTGTAGCCGCGCCGGTACGACTAATTCTCTGCGAAATATCAAAACTCTTCAGACGGAGATTGAACAAACCAAACTCTCGGCGCCCATTGATTGGGATAGAGTGCGGGTTCTCGAAACGTAGCTTAGTCGTTAGTGGGAGGCGGAAGAAATATACTGGCATCAAAAGTCGAGAGTCCGATGTCTGACAAAGGGTGATAGCAATACCTCGTATTTTCACACAGTCACCAGGGCACGGAGAAAAAGAAATTTTGTGGAAGGGTTTCGGAACGAAGAGGGGGAGTGGATCACTGATGAGAAAGGAAAGACTGGTGACTCGCTACGACGCAACACCTAACAAAGGCCAAGTGTAACCAATGAAAGGGACTGCAGTATAGTGGCTCAAGTGATAAATATCGAATCCACGGGTCTCTAGAGTTACTATTACTCAACTTCAGTTTATTATTTAGCAAACCAGATTAAGATGAAAGAACTAAAACTACTCTAGCAAACTACAGTTAAAGTTAATCTAATTACAGGTTGGGAACTCACTTAGGTATGATTCCCCCTAGCCACTAGCCAGACTAACGATTGATGATTTCTAACTTGTTTCACTTTCATTCACAATGCGGAGAATCCTTGACTAGACCTTGAGTCTCGACTAAAGGAACAAGGCCCTCTTGAGTCAATTGCCTAGAGGGACGTATCCTTCTCTAGAACAACTGATCAAGGCATTCTGAACTAGACTCCCTCTATCAAAACAGGTTCTCAATCGATACAAAGCAGTGAATCAACCCTCGACTAAAGCAATCGATCCACTAGTATCAATCTATGGTGCTCTATTGACCTAATCAGGTATTCCCTCTCATAGGATCAAAGCAGAATCAATAATCTCGACTAAAGCAGAATTGAATCATGAAAACATGCATAGATTGAATATGAACTCAAGATTATCAAGTTAGAGTACACATACAATCATCCAATCAAACAAACATAGCTAGGGTTCCTCAAAACCTAAGTGAAGGGAAGGTACTCCATAGAGAAGAGAGAGACTGCAGTAAGAATCTTCAGATGATCAGTCATCAAGTCCAGGCTTGTTTCTCGAGCTTCCAAGCGAAGAAATCCTCCTATTCCAATCTTAAAATGCCCTCAGATCGCCCTTTCTCTCTTTGGTTCGTCCCTTGGGTGTTTGGGATCCAAAACCCAGCTCTCCTCCTCCTTTGGCTCGAATTTGGGCTAAAAACCCCGATTCTGGGCAAAACACGGTCGAGGGCACGGCCGTGCTTTGGTTTTTCCCGCTCGTGCTTTGCCCCGCGTTAAAAACACGCCCGCGCGTCGGGCAAAACACGGTCGTGCCTAAATATGGGCACGGCCGTGTTTTGATTTAGGCGCGCCCGTGTTTTTACTACCGAACCTGTTCTCCTATATTCAATGCTTCGTTTCTCCCTCGTCCGGAGTCCGAATCAGTCGCCGTTTGATCCCACACGCTCGTAGTCTTGTCCTCTTTCTTTTCATGAAAAGTTTGCATGATTATTTGTCCATAAAGTGAGGTAGAAATCCATTATTCTTCATGTCATGCCCGAGTTTCTTCTCCCTAATCGCCAATTGATCTCTGGTTGACTTGAAACTTGTGCCTATGCTTCACTTTATGTGCTAGGACCTGAAATGTGACAAAGAAACACAACCTAGCGTAAAATAGGCCAAAGACGCGATAATTAAATCTCAAACGATCAAGAAACAAAGGGGAAAACATGTGCAAATATCGAGTCATCAAATCCCCCCACACTTAACCGTTTGCTTGTCCCCAAGCAAACCTAACTCAAACCAATGCAGCTCTCCAGACCTCTATAGCAACATACGACCCCGATCGTCGGTAGAGGATTTCCTAGATCATATAGCAGCTTACGAGGTCAACTGGTCTTCTAAGACGTTCCCTATCTCTCTCAATGCGAGTACTAGACTCAAGCCAGGATCATGAGAAGAAGTAGAAGTAAGACAGTCACTTCATGGATAAAGGGACTCACACCATTCACAACCAAGGACTCGTTGTACCGGGGTGCTCTTTCACTTCATTTCACTGTTGGAACCCCTTTTTCGCTTTCATTTTACTTTTTTTTTTCTTATTTCATTCACTTGGCGGGGGTTCCAACTGCAGTCTTTTGCATGGTCGGCCCTTATTAGTCGAGCAAGAGCAATTTCTGTACACCTGGCGCTCGCCAGAGTACTTCTTTTAACTCCTTTTCCTCAACTCGTGTGGAGGGTCAATGAAATTAAGGGGGGTCGGAAGCTCTATCCGTGCCCTTAAAAACACATCCTCAAGTAGGCAAACCGTTCAACGGGTTGAAGTTTTACTTGTACTAGAGACAGCTTAGCTTCACCTTGTAGGAGTACCCCACTAAGGATCACTAAAATCTCTTCCAAAACCCAATTTGGTGCAATGAACGGTGCCGCACACGTTGGGCTTACCCCATGTTTAAGATTTTATGATTTTGACATGGAGGACCAACTGCTTTTCATTTTTCACATGAGCACCCTGTTCGATACACGAGTCCATAACACAATCCAAACAAAGTCACCATTACCACATGAATTCAATGGTCTTAGCTCCACTAATTCACAAAATCAACTGGCACAGCAGAGAGCTAGATAGGAAAAATCTTATACTTCAACATCCTCCATAGTGCTACACTACCTCCCTAGGTTGCACATTACTATAGAGACTGTCAATTCAAAGCATACTGAGCAGGCAATTTGCAAGGAAACACGTACTTGGAGCCCTCAAATTTAAAAATTTGGACAGTGGACTAGGCTCCAAGCACACAAACAGCCAAACATTCACCCGCATACATAATCGAACATCCCCCCACACTTAAGCACGACATTGTCCTCAATGGAGGAAAGATAAGGAGGGTAGAACAAAGTTACCAGATCCAGGGTGAATGATGGTGGACGGGGCAGGCGGTGTATTCCAGGAAGAGAGAGTGGTCAGACCACAAACACCACACAAAATCTCACAAAGGTTGAGTTATTGACTCTAAAATCAAATAACAAAACTGACTCAACCGAGGTGAAAAAGAGAAAGAAATGCAAACCTACTGGTTGGGTTGCCTCCCAACAAGCGCTTCTTTCACGTCGTAAGCCGGACGATGGCTCCTAAGTTTCGATCCACCCCAAAACCTCCTTGAAGTTGAGGTTCTTGTCAATGAGGTGGAGTCTCAAGTCACGAGCATGTGATATGACAGGTGATGGAAGCTCGTGCACTTGATGCGGATGAAGTCTCCACCCTCGAGACCTCTTCTTCTCTTCTCTCGTCTCATTGCCCCAAACCCGATATGACAGCATCCATTGACCACCATCGCGTCCACCAAGAGGGACCGATGTCGACGTGACCTTGGTATGGCAAAGAGACACTGCAAATGGATCCTTGCTAAGTAGTTCCTCGAAGTTTGGTGGAGATATCAAATGTAACTCATGGCCGGTGCAAGCCTCTTCCACCTCAACTTCGTCCTCAGCCTGGACGCCAATTGCTTCTTCAACCTCCCTTCCTTGTTCATGTGGTATCACCCCTGGGAAATGATCAAGAACTCCTCCTGCTTCACTTTCGTCATCCTCCACAACTTCTTTCTGCACCCTTTCTTGCTCTTCTTCTTCTAGCACGGATTGGAGAGCAAGCTGCCAAGCAATTATTTTCATGAGATCTTCTTGCATCTCCTCACTCATTCCCGCCTCTTCAAAGCTCAGTTTGGGATGTGGAAAGGTGTGGTCGGCTATGACAGGACATTCCTGATCATGATCATCACGGGAGCTCTCCGTGACATCTTTAGTGTGCTCCACAATGTCCTTGTAGCCTTCTTCTTCCTCCTCCTCTTCTAGTATGGTAGCAGAAGGGTGATCTGGAGCAGGTTGTGCCCAAGATTGCTCAAGATCATCGACGCTCTTCTTAAGGCTCAGGAGGATCTCCTCTGTTTCACGATAGGCCTGAACACAATGATCCATCTTGGATCATGTTCTCTCACAATCTCGAGCAAACTGCTCCATGAGAAGCCTCAATTCATAGTTTGGATCTGGAT